CAAGAAGGGTTAACTGCTTGTTTTTGTCTAGGTGCTAAAAGTTCTACTTAACTGATCACCCGAGCCGATTTGTTCTTAGACCAGTCCGTGTAGATTCTCCACTGCATCGGTCTTAAGCACCATAAACCCATCAGGTTCTATACACCGTGTATAGGCGTGAGAACACTGATATATTCCAATGCTGCAGCGTAGTAGGAGACGGGCTTCAGAGATCCAAGAAGCAGGGGACCAGCTCAGCGGCTTGGGTGACTTTTTTTAAATTTTTTTAAAGCACTTAGACAAAAACAAGCAGTTAACCCTTGCAATGTAGGGTTAACGGGTTAATACGTTTTGCCCCGAGTTCTTCTTTAAGTAGAGAGTTAAACCACCTGACTGGCCCATCATGATGAGGAATACTTATAAGTGTTGTTATATTAGGCAGATTGCAACAGAAGTTGCTGAAACTCACAAGGGTGGGAGGGAACCCCAAAATGTAGTTATGACCGGAAGATCTGAGTATCCAAGACACATTAGAAGCCAAAGGCTGACTCCTTACCATGTCAACCTATAATCAAAGTATAATGTTTGAGTGGACTTGCCCTTTAACCTATACAGATATGATTGTAGATGTGCTTCCAGTTAATTGCAATCAACTTTTCTCTTTACAGCTAGTGGAATTGTTTAGTCTACCTCCATTTCTGCTAGCGGTTTCATCTTTTTGTTTTCACACCTCTGCCAGACAATAGTTTGTATATTTCCGATTCTATTGGAACTTGTAAATTGCACATCACTAAAGTGGTTTTTTTTTCTACTGTAGGCCTGGAATTTGACCATTGGCTAAATACTCCTGGTTGGCCTGCTTTCTTGCCAGACCTGTCCCCTGGTACTACTCTCATGAAACCAGCTGATGACTTAGCCAAGCTCTGGTCATCTTCTCCCCCAGACATGGAAGCTATTAGAAAAGTGGATGTCTCATCTTGGAAAACATATCAGATCATCTACTTTTTGGATCAGATTCTTGGGAAGTCCCCTCTACCACCTGGTGAGAAATTTGGTTAAGTAAAGCAATGGCACACTTGTGAGAGATAAATATGAGTAATTGAAATATAACCTATATACTTGATGGCGACCAATAACTGGTAGACAGATTTTATAGCATTTATTCTTTTGTTATCTATTATTCTTTCTGCCGAAACCTAATTCATTTTCATTTCTTATCCTGTTTTAAAAAAGGTAATGTGGAAGAGCTTGGAAAATATTACACAAAGATTTCTGAAGCCACCAATGCTGAACTCCGCCTTCGTTGGGCCCAGATTGCGCTGAAAAATGATTACCAAGATCATTTTCCTAAAGTTTGCGATTTCCTGCACAGCCAAGTAAGTGAGTGGGGAATGTAGCCAACATGTTTAGTAGGAGAAATTTTAAAACTGAAATAATTAGCATGTTCCCTAGAGCAAAATTAGCATTTGTTCTGCACACACTTTTTAAATTCAATTGAAATTGGCTTAATAGTTACCCCTATGTTAGTCGCGCTGTAGAAAGACAGCCATTCTTCTATTATAATCTTTGTAGGCATTAGTAATGCCAGCAAATATGCTGCAGTTCACCTATTCAGATACGGTGGTTTCTATGGTCTATGATTGTTAGCCTCTCAAAGCACAGGAATAAATTGTGGAAGCCCCTACTTGGCGGTATTACCGATTGTGGCTCGGGGTTAATTTTCAGTACCATAAGCAGTAACCCTGAGCAAAACTCGGCATTACAGGGTAGCATCTCTTACCTTGTCCACGATCCCCGCTGTGTCCCCTGGCCGATTCCGGGTTCCGTCCCTTGAGAACGTCCGCGTTGCAGGGGGAGGGAACCAGCGGAAATCTTAAGATAGAACAAAAAAGGAAAAAATAATCAAACCGCTAGGGAGGTTAATACATTACGGTATCCAAAACAAGGGCTCACTTTGCACTGAAAAACATCCTTATAGTCATTATATTTTCTTAAGCTCAACTCTACAAAACCATCAATTTAAAGCAAGCCGGTCAGCTTTTTCGAAGGCTTAAAGTGACCCTACCATCACAGATTGTGAATGCTGGATTTTCCCTTAGAAAATTTTTTATAACTGTCCAGTAAAGTCTAAGCCCTGGTTCACACCTGTGCGGGTGTGACAGCGAGTCTGCATCTTTTACATGTGTTAAGGTGTAGCGCGTTTGGACAGCACGTTTATACTAATGGGCTGCTCGACAAGTTATAATCGCACCAGGGAAGTGCATACCCTTTTTTAAAAAAGAGAAGCTACACCAAAATGCATGTTTTTTTGTTTTATGCATTCATTGTGCTACAATGCATGTTCTTTGGAAGGAACTTTTGGGGTGCCAGAATGAAGGCACTGCAGAAGAAGAGAAAAGACACGAGTACTGATCTGCGTTGTAGGAGCATACACATTTATCCCCCCCAGAATACAGGTGTGAACAGGGGCTTAGAGTGCACCCACCATATGGCTGGCTGTGTATAGATGGATCATCAAATACCATACAAAATGTTTACCCCGATGATTGTTGGGGCCAATCTATTTCTCCTCCAGATTCTTGTGTTGCTGGTTTCACTCATAAAAAGATGATCAAATGTACTTGAAAATATCTACAGCTGATACTGAGGACTTTTTTTCTTGGAGATAGTTGCTTAATATCACTCATTTGGTAAATGTATGCTGAAAAGAAAATGTGGGCTGCCATGACTGAACCTGCTTTGTGAAAATGTGCATTGCCTGATGGACACACAGACCCAGTGATGTCAGTACATTGGGTTACTGACATGGAAGAAATATACAGATCAGGAGTTCAGACTGCACTATGACTTTGCTTGCTGCATTCTTGTTCTGGGTTAGTGACTCAGAAGTAATAAATCCAAGCAAGTGTTTAGAAGGAGATCAGCAATGGCAGCCTTCTTATTTCCCTCTGTAGGTCAGATTACTTGTATCACTATTGAAATGTGTACCACGTATCGCTAGTCTGGGACTGGTTATTTCTGTTAGGGTTAAATATTAGTATTACATAACTTCAAAAAGTTTAAGTGTACCTGCTATATATATTATGCTATATTTTATACTTTATCTTTTGTGAATTTCCAATAAACATGAACGCATTTTCTTCTTGTGCTTCCAGGGGAAACAGAAGTACACATTACCACTGTACCGTGCTATGAAAGCTGGATCCGAGGCTGCTCTTGCTCTAGCCATGGAAACCTTCCAGTCTACATCTCCGCAGCTTCATCACAATGTCCGCAAATATGTGAAAAAGATCTTGGGCGAGTAGGGAACATAACACAACATGAAGAGAAAAACAACAAACAATATAATTTCATGCATTTAACATCTCCATCTCTCGGCATTCAAGAAATAGATTTTTATAGCTTGGCAATCAGAGTAAATTTGTGTAATGAAACTTTATAGTGTGCTTGTAGCATTCAAAATAAAATAATGATTACATAAAGTATATTTGTAAGGTGATTGACCAACTAGGACCGCTTCATTAGGGCTTTGAATAGCTGCTGCTAATTGGAATACTATGAATGCTACCATTAGCTTTGTAAGGTAAGAGAAATGGTATTCCAAAATGAAACTGACCCAGTGGGAGATTCATGCTCTGCATTTAAAATAGAATTCTAGGCAAGCTTTTCTTTTTCATTTTTTTAAATAAAGAAAACAGAGAAGGCTTTTTTTTACGATTACAGACCCCCAATGGATTGGCCAATATGTCCACATTCTCTTTTGCTATAGTGGAAATCTTAATCACGAGTAACAGTGTGACTTTAAAATATATCAATAGCTTGGTCTTACCTTACACATGAACAGCTGTAAACACTTTGTAAGGGATTTCATATTTCTATAAAAAGGCAAATCACAAATACACAAGCTTGCTACCACTAGAGATTTCATAATATGAATCGAAGGTACAGTTACTGGCAATGTTGGAGGCACAGTAAAAGAGGCATCACTGGTACACATTTCAGATTGGACCTGTCATGCTAGAAAACAAGCTGTTAAGCGCTTCACTCATCCCTTCAAAGTGACAAAGAGCTCAGGGGTTAAAACTTAAAAATGCGTTCAAGTACCTTAACTATTTAAAACATTTATCTTATTTGTGTATGACTCGGCTGTAGATCCTCAAATCATCTCTGAATTGGTGCTGACACTGCCCTTCCTTCTGGAGTGTGGCTACTTCTGTTCCCCATGGTCCCTGTGTGTGTTATAAAGTAGCCAGCACTCCAAGCTCGCTCCCATGATGGGGTACAATATCACATTTAGTTAATTTGTATTGAGATTGTAGTCCATCACAGGAGCGAGCTTGGAGCAGGGTCTACTTTACAAAACACACAGGGACCACGGGGAACAAAAGTAGCCACCCTCCAGAAGGAAGGACAGTGTCAGCACCAATTCAGAGATGATTTGAGGATCTATAGCTGAGTGATACACAAATCTAATACATTTTTGTTAATAGTTAAGGTACTTGAATGTATTTTTAAGATTCATCTCCTGAGTTTAGTGTCACTTTCAAAGTTTCACCACTAAAGTAGTAGTGTAATACATAAACCTGTCATGAGGGAATGCTCACCTGAAAAATGCCAGACACCTGGCTGTTATGCTGAACCACTGGCTTTAGAACTTTCCGATTCACTGACAAAGAACAAGTATGCAGAACAGGCAAGACAGAGGCCCCTATTTTGCATACCTGTATCGGTTGCTGTATTGCATTTGAGAGCCAAGCAACTAGCATTTCATGTGAGGTTGGTAGTGGTAGCCTCCATGTCTCTCCCATGATATGCCTTTATAGGGTTAGCTCAACTTTTCACAAAAAATGAAAACGTTGATTAACACATAATACCCTCCACCCACACCAACCACCCAGACAATATAATGGACACTTTAAAACGTAACCACGTTGAACGTGGAGCATGTATTCTTATTCACATTGGCCAGTGTGGTCACATGGTTGATGGTTGCAGTGTCCAATGACTGCTTGCAGTGGCAGACATAATGACATGATGTTGCTATTCAGTCTCAGGGGCTGTGTAGTGTCTGGCCTGCACAGCTGCGACGGTGCGACGTTTTTTGTTTTTTTTGTTTTTTTTTTAGTGTATAGGTGAAGTAACCCTTTAAGCCCTTATATTCCCTGGGTGCTTAATTTAATAGAATACCATAAAGAATGTATGCGGGGCCCAGGTTCCATAATTTCCTGTCTTCACTATTTATCTAAAGTAATTTATATGGAAAGCTGTACGCCACCATTTTTCTTATAATGGTTTTTCTAATTTTCGTCTCATCAAAGTCCACAACCACAGGGGAGAGTTTTCTAATTTGTCTATTTTGATGAAATTGCATTAAAGCTCTGGCATTTTTGTAATCATTTACCTTTTCCATTGTATTCATTCTTTGGTGTAATTGACATCTGAACAACGTTGACTTTGTGTAAAATGTCTTTACAGTGCTCTCCTGGGCCAGTTCACACCATAAAAAGCGCATTCCAGGGCAGTCAGGCTCTGGAACTCACTGAATCGCATTTCGGCCAACTTCCTGTGTTTATGGGCGGGAGGGGGCATTGAAGTCAATGACACCAAAGCCATGCCACCCACCCACGTGCCTGCATTCCGGTCCAGTGCAATCTGCAAAAGTAGCAATTGCAGCATTATCCCCCACCGCCCATGAATGCAGGAAGCCGGCCGGAATGCGATTCAGTGTGGTCCCGAGCCTAAACGCCCTGGAACACACTGTTTATGGTGTGAACTAGCCCTAAAAATCGAATCTTGCTTACCCTATTAAATCCTTTGAGTAGGGATGCACAGATACTTTTTGAGTACCAGTACAGATACTTGGCATTTTCATGAGAACTACCGTGGTTGCAGCTGGGACCTGGCTCTGGCACTCCACCACTGTCCTGAAATCATTAGTCTGTATTGTTTTAGAAAAACTGTCACATGACAATAAACAAAAATGTATCAGTACTTGTACTTGTAAGTACTCGGCAAGTACCAGTAATCGTACTCGCAAAACTGGTATCTGTGCATCCCTTTTATTTATAAAAACAAAATCGTACATTAAAACAGAGATGTACAAATCCCAGGAGCTCCGTGTGCTCCTTACACATGACAGCTGCCTCCTAATTTTTGCATTTTTCTCTAGTCTAGTCTTGGAGCTCAAAAGTATCGGTACATGTACTAGTACTTGTACCGAGTACTGTACTTGGTATCTGTGCAACCCTACCTTTGAGAATAACTTACTACATCCTGCAGAAAGTAGATAAAGCAGAATGTCTCCCCTTTTTTATGTGAAATACAAGGTAATGGTGAGAATCATGACAATGCAATAGATAAAAGAGGACTTTTAAAGTGTTTTTTGGAAAACAAATGGGTAAACTATGGAAGAAAAATTCCTTGTTTCCCTTTTCTTTCCTGAAACGGGAAGTGAGGGGAAATCTCCCAAAAGAGGAAAGAGAGCAATAAACACAAAGACATGAGCCCTTCCAATTTGGATGAAGTTACACTTTTTAGGTCTGAAAGTAGATTTCAATTTTTTTTTTAATTACTTCTAGTAGGTGGTATGATCTAGAACAGAACCCTATAATGTCTCCCATATGCGGATGATATAGAGCCTGGTTAATGGTTAAATCTTTGCTAAGAGAAATACAGAGTGCCATTGCTGCCCTTGTGAAAAGACTACTGTCATACTAATCCTTTGACGTCGGTAATTTCTTAGTCACTGACCTAAAAATTATTACATTCCATAAAGTCATAACATCAGATGTGCATGTATGCTACAGGTCAGTGTATACACTTGTAGATTTTTTTCAATTCAGCTTTTGGGCTGAACGGTGTGAATGGAGGAATTTTACGCTGCGGCTGTTTGATGCAGATGCTGTTTGTCCAACAATTTTCCGCCTGGCTCCTTCTATTTTTAATCCAAGGATGTCGGATGGGAGCTGGCAGCTGGGCGAATGTGGGTGGGCCTAAAGCAAAGCCATTCAGTCTACATGGCAGCCAGCTGCTAAAGGAGAGGAGTGTTAGCCCTCATTCACACGGGTAACGGCCGGCCTGTACAGCTCCGTCCTGCGTGCACGGCTGTATCGGGCAGCTCCCGGGAAGGACAGGTGCTGCATGTAATTATATGTAGTAGCCTGTCCTTCTCTATGGGAGTATGCCGCCCTACGCTCACCTGACCTGCACGTCCGTGCGGGTGTCCCTGCTCAGACACAAATAGGATCCATCCTGTCGGTATACCAGCACGGACGTACAGGTTAGGAGAGCGTAGGAGCGGCGTACGGCTGCGTACTCCCATAGAGAAGGACAGGCTGCTGCGTATAATCACACGCAGCACCTGTCCTTCCCAGGAGCGGCCCGATATGGCCGTGCACGCAGCACGGGTCTGTAGGGGCCGTCCGTTACCCGTGTGAATGAGGGCTTAAGGTAACAAGGATGAAGAAACTATTTTTGCTTGAATGTGATTGGATGATGGAAGTCAGAAGAGCTTCACCTCATTCACTAAGCTAAGGGGAAATTCCCTGCAAAATATACAGTCTATTTGCCTTTAGTAAACCAACCCCTATCATGTGCTTATTAAAAGTACCTGCCATACACAGAAGTGCCTTAGCTAATATCGTTCAACATGAAAGTGTCTTAGGGCTCTCACACAAAGGCTAAATAAAGATAGGCGTCCATTGCATTTAGTTTTTGTTTTTATTCAAAGTCTTTATTAAGAAAGAGTAAGAGAAACCATTACAAGAAACAATACATGTCAATACATCTGTAGGTATATCTAGATAGGATGACCTTTTATCTTCAGGCAAATGTAAGGTACAAATGTAACCGATTTTTAATCCCATCCAGACAGTAGAGGCATTTCAAGTTCTCCAACTTTATTTGTATTTTATAGCTAACCTAGATTAAGAAAAAATAAAATATAAAAGAAAACCCTTTACGTAGGAGTCTACTAGAACTCCACACATTGCATGTAGTTTTGAGTCAGTGGGGGTTCCTAATGGAGAAACTGAATGAATGAGGATGAGTGTCAATGCATCAATGCCAGCAGAACCTGCATGTACAGATTTATTTTGCTTGATGAAATGCAAAGTACTTAACTCATTGTTTTGGTTCTGGTCTTTGGAGAACACCACATTTATCATCTGTTTATATACTGTTTCCAGCTGATAGGGACACCATGGTGATCCCTCCATTGTAGCAATAAAGGAAAAAAGGAATATTAACTAACTTTTCTATTCATGTTGCAACACAACTAAAGATCGTGCAGATTTATCAAATTGTAAGCACGGGGAAAATAGGCTGCCCATAATCAACACATACAGATTAGAATATGTGTAATGTTCCTTTCATGCGTTTCATAACTTTATTCTGTCTATAGGTGTCACTGTTGTCCATTGCTAGAAGCAGAGAGGTTGCTGACCCTTGTTTGTGTGTTATAGAAAAACACAAACGATTAGATCATCAGGTTGGTTTCTCCCAACACTGCAACACAAAAGTAAAACACAGTAAAGTTGTTGCTAATATGTGTCGGGTTAACTATGCTGTATATTTTAATGCTGCACATGGGCATAGGGCGTTTTTCAGCACGTTCCGACACGCTGAAATACGCCAGAAAAAGTGAGAACCATGCCCATAGGAAATAATGGGATTTCACTTGCAGGGCGTTTAACAGCGCGTCAATCAGCGCTGTAAAACGCCCAGGTGTAAACCCGGCCTTAATGGCTCTAGAATTATTGCTCTCACTCCGTTTGCGGCGATATGCAACATGTGCGGCACGTAGGCGCACCTGACGCATATAAGCGTGTGTATTAGGGGGGACAGACTTAAAAAAAATGTTTAAAAAAATAAATGTTATGCTTCTTGATCTTTTTTATGAATTTCATTTTTGTATT